CAGACTTGAACTCGCCAAGTGCGCCGAGGGAGGTCGCAGAAGCAACCCCCCTCGCGCACCCCGGCAATGCCGGCTGGTAGGAGACGAACCGCGTCGTGGGCAGACACTCCGAGATGCCTGGCCGCCGCGTGCCAATGACCGCGTGGTACGCTTGCGCATGGAAGACATAACATGTGTTGGCCAGATTACTGGAGAGCTTCTGAGGGAACGCTGGGCTTCCGATACCGCAGACAATACCGAGTTGGATGTCATATGCAGAGCACAAAGGACAGCGCGGGTGAAAGAGAGAGAGAGAGGGAGAGAAATAGAGAAAGAGAGAGAGAGAGAGAAAGAAGAAAAAAAAACGAACAGAGCAAAAGAGAGAGAGAGAGAGATCGAGAGAAAAAGAGAGACTCAAGAAAAGGAGGAGGAAGGAAGAGGAGAAAGACGACGAGAGGAGGAGGAGGAGGAGGAGGAGGAGGAGGAGGAGGAGGAGGAGGAAGAGGAGGACGAGGAGGAGGAGGAGGAGGAGAAGGAGGAGGACGGAGGAGGAGGAGGAGGAGGAGGAAGGAGGACGAGGAGGAGGATCCTCGCCGTCGGCGTCGTCGTCGTCGTCGGTGGCGGCAGCGGCGGCGTCGTGGTCGTCGTCGTGGCCGCAGCAGGCTCCCGGCCTGGGCACGTCGGCCGCGTCGGCCTGCCCCGCCGCCGGGAGGGGGGGGGGGGGAAGGGGAAGCAGGGGGGAAGCAGGGGGTGCGAGGCAGGAGCTGGGGAGCGGGGGCTGGGGTGGGGGTGGGGGGCAAGAGAAGGAGGTTGACGACCGGCAAGGAGAATCCGACTCTGCCTCGCTCTACCCAAGAGCGATGGCAGGCGGCCGCGCACTCGCACGAGGAAGGCCCCGCCTCTACCCCCTGCTCGGCAGGAGAAGGAGGGGAGGACGGCAACGAGGCGCATGAGGGGGGAGCTGGGGCGGGGGGGGGGGGGGGCGGAAAAGGAGGAGCCGGGGAAGGGAGGAGGAGGAGGAGGAGGAGGAGGAGGAGGAGGAGGAGGAGGAGGAGGAGGAGGGGATTAGAGCTGGAAGCGGTTAGCAAAGCCCCGTGGATTTGCTACCGCGTGAGCGGGGCCGCTTCGGGCCGGTCCCGAGCCACACCCCACTCCTCGCACGCCTTGGCAGCCCAGCTGCCACTGCCTGCGTTCTGTTCTCGCACGAGTCGGGTCCAGCACTGTAGCCAAACGTGGCAGTAGCTTTGTCACAAAGCGCAGGCTCAATGAGGCAACATGGGATTTTCTGGGTATCGAAGCCTGATTCCTTTTTTCACCTCACGGACATTTGCCCCCCATGTCAAGCTGAAGGCTGGCCCTCAAGTCACAGCGGTGAAATGAATCAGTTCTTTTCGGTGGAAGCACTCATCAGTACCCTCTGCATCTCCACGGCGACGCGTCAGGAGGGCTGCACACACACACACACAAGATCCTCGACTTCGTCGGGCAAGTTTAGCGTGTCGGCAGTCGGACCAGAGCCAGGAGGGCACTCGCGTTTCCTGTTGAGGATCCTTTCATGGGGTTCTGTGCAGAGGTCGTTGAGCGAGGCTTGGTCGGCTGGATGGTTGCTGGTAATGTGTTTGTTGAAAACATCGCGGGAATTGCGACGACCCTCGCCGGTGTGTCCGAGGCTCAGCGGACCCAAGTGCATCAAATCGAGCACGAGGTCCGTCCCATCCGACAGCGTCTTTTACGAGCAACGCTCGACGCAACAGTCAGCGAAGAGAAGAAAGTGCGCCCTCGTGCTGCCCGTGCTGCTGCCTCCTCCGGTGATCCACCTCCTGCCCCTGCCACGTTGGCCAGTTTCTGATCCGCCCATGCCATGGCGGACTGTGGTAACACGTGTCCCATCTGCAGGGGGACCGCGACGGTGGCAGCGAAGGTGGAGCTTTTAAACTTCGAATGGCGTCGATTTGAGCGTAGTGCCGATCGTGTCATCTGGCATCCACGGGGGCGGCGCTTACATCTCGCTGAGGGGAGGGGGGCATCAGTCTCACAGTATGTTGTATCGCGAATCCTGTCCTTTTGGGTTTGCGGGTCCTGCGGGTGCTATGGCCAACAGCATCTTCGGAGCCTGTCTCACCAAAGTCCTTCCCGTCCCCTTTAAGCACTTTAACCCCGACGCGTCGGGAACACCTCGATTGAATTGCCATAGGCCTGATGGCCAAAGTTCTCAGCCAGGCTGAGAAGGCGGCCAGGTCCTGCCCTTAATGTATTTTGAAATCGCTTCGCGACTGGTCTTATCTGATTCTTCTCCACCCTCTCCTCTCCTCTAGAACTTCAGAGAGATCCAGCCTCCAAGCCCACGAATGTCCTCTCCTCCCCCTGCTCCTCCTTCTGTCCCCCATGCCTTTTGAATATCTCTCTCTCTCTCTCTCTCTCTATCGCACGCTCTCATTGCCACCTGTCCTCTCCACTCCACTCCTTTTATTTCCTCGACTCTCTTCTCCTCATACTTCTCCTCCTGCTTCACCCCTCCGTTCGCCTGAATCTTCAGGAACGACTCGTTGGCCATGCGGTTGGCCTCCTTAATGGTGTCCGAGACGTGAACCTTCGGGGAGCGGGCTGCGGCGGGTGCATGTGCATCAGCTGATTTTTCTGGCACGGGCTACGCCTTTTCTCCTGTGCTGCCTTTTCCACGGCATCTCCCTCATCTCCTCCCTTCTGTCCCCCGAACCCCAGAACCTCGTTGAACCCCCCCAGCTCGGACAAATACATGTAGAACCTCTTCAGAACCCAAACCCCTTTGAACCTCGCGATAGAACCCCGTAGAAACTCTCCCATCGAGGCCATGACCGTACGTGATTGTGTGCGCTCGGGGTCGTCTGCGCTGAAGAGTTGTGAGGCGATCGATCTGCAAGACGCACTGTCGCCAAGTAGCGCATCCTGCAAGTTCCAATGACAGAACTCATGCCGTTTTTCGTGCCGCTTGAAGCGTACATCGGAAACACGGCGGCAGAAGATCGTCTTACGCGAGAAGGCATAGCGGACGGACGCGGTGGCTTACGCAGGCGGCTCGCGCGGCACACCACGTGGAAAAGCAGGCGCATCTACGCGAACCTGCTGCAAGCAACCTGCACCCGAATGCTCGTGCAGCACCTCCCGCCATACGCCGCTCATCTGCATTTTCCTCGAGGCGCCCCCGAGCGCCGATCGAGCCCCGGCACCACCCGAAGTCACTGATCGGAATCTGGCTCGATCGACCGTGCTCCGGCTTCACCGTATCGTGGCCGCGCGGGGCGGCCGGGTGCCAAGACGCGGTCCTGGACTCCCGCTGTTCCTCGCGCGCGCGGGCAGGTGGGCATCTGTCGCCGAAGCGCTGCGGGCCCTACGGAGCACACCTGCTCCGAATGTTCAGCGGTGGCGTGGCATGCTTGAGATGAAGAGGTCGTCCGCCCCCTGGCGGGCGATCGCTGGCTCACGCGTTGTTCGGCTCCAACTGTGCTCAACTTCATTTCCAAGTGTGCTCGTCTCGAAGAGACCGAGCCTCCCGCAGAAATTAATCGAAGGACATCACTGCTACGGTTGTCGTCTGTTTGTTCCTACTGCCGTTCGGTCGGTTCCTCCTCCCTCCTCCCCCTGCGCAGGAGCATTCCCCCCGCCCCCTCCCCCATCCAGAAGCGCCCAGACGCCAGGCGCTTCCGGGCGGGACCCAAACCCAAGGGGCCACTTCCCCCAAACCAGATGCCGCCTCGACAAAACCTCCAGGCCTCCAGAGTGCTGCGCAGCCGCGTTTCGTGTCGCCCGAACCCTCGGACCGCCCCACCAGATGCTCAGACCGCCTCGACAAGACCGGTGGGCCTCCCAAGAAGTGCTTCGCACGCGCTGGCCGCCCCGCCGAGGCCCTCGCACAGTCCCTCCAGACCGTCAAGCCGCCTCGACAGGAGCTCCAGGCCACCACGGGCCCAGACAGTTTGCGTCTCGCGGGCGCCCCGCGGGCGACCTGCCGCAGCAGATGCACCGCCCGCGTCGAGGACGGCGCGGCGAGCGCCGGGCCGCCGCTGCGCCGAAGGGGCGCGGCGGCCCTCGCGGCGGACTCACTGTGTGGCGCGGGCCACGCGTTGCGCTGGCAGCCTGCCTTTGCACAGCAGGTCCACGCCGTCCTGGGCCTCCGGAAGCCACCTCCTCTGGAAAGGCCGTGTGGTTCTGAAACTTCCCGTCTTCCAAGGCAGAAGCCTTGGCAGCTCGTACCGTTTCAGCGGGCGCGCATCGCAGTTGAATGGAATAGGCTGCACGGATGGGAATGCGTATTGCAGCGGCAACAACAATGTAAAACAACACGTGTGACGGGTGGCTGTATTACATCCGTGAGTTCGCTTGGTAACTCAATCGATCATGCTTCGACTTAGCCGTTTGCGGCGACCGACCAGTTGTCCTACTGGCTTTTTTTCGCAAACTCTTACCCATGCGCGGGCTCACATCTGCTACAGAGCCGCGGTGGGTCCTACGCTCCTACAGGGCGCACCTGCCAAAAGCATTGTGCGGAGGCAGGGCGTGCTTTAAGCATGGACGTCCGCCCCCTGGCGGGCGTACAGTTGCCCACACATAGTTCATTTCTAGACGTGATCGTTTCAATCTCGCCCGTTGAAAGAGACCTGGCACCCCCCTGAAGGCGTATAAATGAACCGTGTGTTCACGTCGAGGACCTGCAGCTGGAGGGCCACACTTTCAGACTCCTGGCGCCTGTGGGTTCAAGTCGTCATCCTATTTCAGCAGTGCACGGCGAAAAAAAACCGAACGCACTCGTGGGCGTTCGGAGGGCCGTGCTAATTCCGAAGGAGCGGGGCTTGGCCGGCGCTGCGCCAGAAAGGGCGGCCGGGGGGGGGGGCAGGCAGCGCCTGGCCGATCACCGAGCACAGCCTGTAAAGCACAATCGAGGACGGGCAGGCAGCACACACCACCGGCGTCAGAGAGCGCTCTGCCTCTGCCAGCTCGGGGAGAGCGGACGGGTGGCACGCAGGAGGCCGGGCACTTTCGACGAATCACCGCGCGGCAAGGCCGAGCCAGCTGCGCGGCGTGCTGCACGGGCGGTAGCTCACGGACGCGCGGTCCAGCGTCGAGGGCATCCTCTGCGGGGTGCCAGAGCGGCCCTCGAACAGCTTGAGACTCTCGTGCACGGCGGCGTAGCGTACGGCCTTCTGCGGCGCCGTCGCGCAGGAACCGTGCGCGCGAAGCGCCGGCGCTGGCGGCGCCGTAGCGGGTACGGACCGAGAGGCGTAGCGGGCGCTGGCAGCGCCGTAGCAGGCGCTGGTAGCGCCAGAGGCGCGGGCGTGGTCGACGCGCCCGCGTGACGAGGGCGCGCTGCGCTGCCTCGTGGCGGCTGGGCGGGGCATCTGATCGAGCCTGCAAGGCACCGGCTCGTCCCAAGCACAGCGCACGGTCGTCTGCGCCGAGTCCCCGCCGCCGTCCGGCGGGGGGCTGCGCCGCGTGGCAGCGGAGCCGCTGCGCGGAGGCTCGGGCCTGCTGTGGGCGAGCGCAGATCCGGGCCACTCCTGCGCCAGGGTGCCGACCACGTCCTCCAAGAGGTCGATCCGCTCGCAGAGGGAGGCGCCCAGCGGCGGCGCCTCGTGCGGCGCCGCTCCTCGCGCTTCGGCGCCCGGGCGATCTGCCTCGCGCGCCGACGGGCGCCCGCTCGTCTGCCCCAGCTTGGCGCGCGCGGAGGCCGGGCGCTCTGCACGCCTGCCGGCGGAGAAGCCTAAGAATCCCAGGTAGTTGAGCCTCTCCACGAGCGAGGTGTGCTGGTGGCCAGAGAGCTTTCGGAGGCCCTCCAGCTCCGTGGCGCACCAGCCCTGGAGACCCTCAAGCGCGGTTGCGGTCTGGCTCTGGGTCTCCACCAGCGCGTCCAGCCGGCCCTGCTGGGGAAACCGAAGGGTACCGGTACAGCTACTTTCTGGACCTCTCCTGGGGTGCGTTCTGACCAGAATTTCGAGGCGAATCCAGCGGTGGCGACGAGGGCCGCCCAGGAGGCCCAAGAAAGCGAAATCGAGGCCTCGGTAGCGGTATCGGTACTTTTTCCTCCTCTGACCTGCATCATCTCCACCTGCTCCCGCAGCCTGGACTGCGCACGATCCACATCCCCGACGGCGCCACCAGGGGCTCCGCGCAGCTCCTGCTGCCGGAGCGACTCCAGGCCAGCCTCGGCGGCCTTCAGCCGCGCCGCGAGGTCCTGCTGGCCGCGGCGCAGCTCGCAGATAGAAGCCTCGCCCTCGCGTGCCGAGAGAGCGCTCCGGATGTGGCCGAGCTCGCACATCACGGCCGCCTCCTCTGGACCGCGGAGGCGCTTTTGCATGGCACCCAGCTGCCTCGCCAGGAAGTCCACGTCCGCCCTCAGGCGCGCTTCACCATCCTTTTGCAGCTCCCTGGCGCGCACCAAGACCCTTGAGGACTTGGCCCTCAGCATGGAGCTGTCCTCCGCAAGCGTGGCCAGAGAAGAGCGGGGGTGGCCCTCATCGCAGCCTGCCAGCCTCGAGCGAATATCGGCAACTTCCTGCGCGTGGACCTCATGCGCGCTGCTGAGCGTGCCAAAGCGAGCTTCGTGGCCGGCTAGATCCATCTTCACCTGGTCGAGCCTGAGGGCCGTAGCTGCGCACTCCGCGCGATAGCTCTCCGCGAAAGCACTCATCCTCTGCTCTTGGAGGCGGCTGGGGGCTTGAACTGGTTCGGACCCAGATAATTTGCTAGGAGGAAGGATCCCCGAACCTTTCCTGGGGCCCATGTGGTACATTTCTTCGCCCTGGGATCTGTTTCTGACGGCCCCGGGCCCGAAAGCGGGCCCTGAAAGCGGGCCCTGGAGGCCGACAGAGGCAAAACTCCTTCTCGAACCCAAAACCTCGGACCGCGCTCTCCCCCGCTGCTGGCTGGAACCAGGGCTGCACCACCTCCGGCCCCCAGCCGGCTCCAACTCTGCTCCACGCCATCCACGCGCTCGGCTAGCGGTGAACACCGCCCAGCCTCAAGACGAAGCTGGGACGAGGGCAACATCGGGTGAGGATCGATCGACGATCTCTGAGATTTGGCGGCTCTGGAGCACATCTCGGGCACCGCGGCCTTCTCAGAGCATTCCGGATTGCTCTGAGAGCGTTCCAGAACGCTCTGGAACGGATTGATCCTCGTCCTACATTTAGGTCGGGCATGTCCCCCCATACAGGCGGATTTTGGACGAAAGATGCAAATAATCAAAACAATACACCGAAATTATACAAACAGTAGAAAAATCGTCCCCCGACTATTTTTCCCAACCGTCCTGTGGTATTGGGTCCTCGTTTTGAAGAGACGGCGCCCCGCGTTCCCACTCCTCCTCCTCCTCCTCCTCCTCCTCCTCCTCCTCCTCCTCCTCCTCCTCCTCCTCCTCCTCCTCCTCTCCCTCCTCCCTCTTCCCATCCGCCTCGTCATCGTCATCGTCAGCGTCATCATCGCAATCATCATCGCGATCGTCATGATCCACATCATCATGAGCATCCCCATCGCCATCGTCAGCGCCGCGCCCCTCACACGGTTCGTGGCCCCACAGGGAGCCCCACCGAAGGCCCCAGCGGAAGCGTCCGCATGGCACCGCGCCGCCCCATGTTGGTACACCCCTCACACGGCTCGTGGCCCCACAGGGAGCTCCACCGCCCCAGCGGGAGCGTCCGCATGGCACCGCCGCCCTATTTGGCACACCCCTCACACGGTTCGTGGCGCCATAGGGAGCTCCACCGAAGGCCCCAGCGGGAGCGTCCGCATGGCACCGCCGCCCTCATTTTGGCACACCCTTCACACGGTTCGTGGCCCCACAGGGAGCTCCACCGCCCCAGCGGGAGCGTCCGCATGGCACCGCCGCCATATTTGGCACACCCCTCACACGGCCCGTGGCCCCATAAGGAGCTCCACCGAGGGCTCCAGCGGGAGCGTCCGCATGGCACCGCCGCCCCATTTTGGCACACCCCTCACACAGTTCGAGGCGCCATAGGGAGCTCCACCGAAGGCCCCAGCGGGAGCATCCGCATGGCACCGCCGCCCCATTTTGGCACACCCCTCACAGTGTTCTTGGTCCCATAGGGAGCCCCACCGAAGGCCCCAGCGGGAGCGTCCGCATGGCACCGCCGCTCCATTTTGGCACACCCCTCACACGGTTGGTGGCCTCATAGGGACCCCACCGAAGGCCCCAGCGGGAGCGTCCGCATGGCACAGCGCCGCCCCATGTTGGCACACCCCTCACACGGCTCGTGGCCCCACAGGGAGCTCCACCGAAGGCTCCAGCGGGAGCGTCCGCATGGCACCGCCGCCCCAACTGCGTCCGCATGGCACCGCCCCCCTCACAATGATCGTGGCCCCATTGGGAGCCCCACCGAAGGCCCCAGCGGGAGCGTCCGCATGGCACCGCCGATCCATGTTGGCACACCCCTCACACGGTTCGTGGCAGGAGCGTCTGCATGGCACCGCCGCCTCATTTTGGCACACCCTTCACACGGCTCGTGGCCCCACAGGGAGCTCCACCGGAGGCCCCAGCGGGAACGTCCGCATGGCACTGTCACCCAATTTGGCACACCCTTCACACGGTTCGTGGCCCCATAAGGATTCGTGGCCCTATAGGGAGCTCCACCGAAGGCCCCAGGGGGAGCGTCCGCATGGCACCGCCGCTCCATTTTGGCACACCCCTCACACGGTTCTTGGCCCCATTGGGAGCCCCACCGAAGGCCCCAGCAGGAGCGTCCGCATGGCACCGCCGCCCCATGTTGGCACACCCATCACACGGTTCTTGGCCTTATAGGGAGCTCCTCCGAAGGCTCCAGCGGGAGCGTCCCCATGGCACCGCCGCCCCATTTCGTCACACCCCTCAGACGGTTCGTGGCCCCCATAAGGAGCTCCACCGAAGGCCCCAGCGGGAGCGTCCGAATGGCACCGCCGCCCCATTGCGGCGCACCCCTCACACGGCTCGTGGCCCCAAAGGGAGCTCCACGGGCTGCGCACGGGGCTCGGGCGAAACCAAGAAGACTCCCCGCTCGCCCGCGTCAGCTTTTCCCCCGCTCATGCACGCCGCCATCCTTTTTGCTGCCCGCCCTCCTTCGTCTCCTCTCCCTCGCGGTGCTCGCAGCAGCATATGGCTGGGTCCTTCGTCAGGCTAATTCGACTATGTTTGAATATTCCCCCTGTAGAGGGGCAAGCCCGACTTAATCCTACATCCCTCCTCGGAATCAAACGCAAGTTTCTCCCGCGACGCGGCGGCGCCCCAGGACCCCCAACTTTCGACAGTCGTGCCGACACTGGCGACGCCAAGCGCAAAAAGTATGACCCCGCGGGCCGCGCTTCGCGCGTCGATCAGTTTTGCAAACTTGCGCTTGATTTCGAGGAGGGCTGTAGCCCCACCCGAAGCTTCCAGGGCCAGCACGCGGCCCACCAGGCCCTCCAGCGCCTGCGCCCGCTGCCCCAGGGCCGCGGGGTGGGCGGGCGGGACGAAGTGGTGAGAGCTTTTGGTTTGCCGGTCGAGGACCGACTCAGTGCGCTCGAGATGGGTCGTCGTGCGGCCCAGAGGGCCTCTTCGGCCTTCGCGGACCCCGACTTTGAGGGGGGGGTCAATTCGGAGGAGTAAGTTTTTGCACCAGCCTTTAAGGCCAACCAAAGCCAAGCCAAGCCAAGCCAGGGCCGCGGCCTCCGCGGCGAGGGCGGCCTGCGCGCCGCGCGCCTCCTCCGCCAGCCGCTCGCAAGCGGCCAGCCGCGCCTCCACCTGCTCCAGCCTCGCCGCGGCAGTCGCACACGCGGCCCTCCCCTCTTCGGCAGCCTGCGTTCGGGGGCTGCTGCCTCCTCCTCCTCCTCCTCCTCCTCCTCCTCCTCCTCCTCCTCCTCCTCCTCCTCCTCCTCCTCCTCCTCCTCCTCTTCCTGATCCTCCCTCCCCGCCCTCCTCGTCCCTTTTCCCCCTTTTCTCCTATTCCTCCGGATCCTCATCCTCATTATCCTCCTCCT